TCTGCCCTCATCACTTGGTGAAACCCCCATCACAAACCCCCCTGCAGAGAACATCGTAGGCACCTGTTCCCGGCTCTTCCCAGTGGGGCACTCAGCAAAAGGGTGCTTTCAGAGAAAAACTAAATGTTGTGCTAGGTGAAGGTTTCTTGGTGTTTTGTCAGGTCTGGAAACTCTATGACAAGGCCTGCATATAATTTCTTGATAAAGAAACCAACCAGCAAGATACTCTTTTCCACTAAGTACCCCGCTGGGCCAGGCCCTAAACAGATTTCTCCAGCCCGTTTGGACTCCAGCAAACCTGGAGTTCTCTTGGGACATTGCAGGGTTTTGTTTACATGTTTGTTTGTTTTCCTTTGCCCACAGTCTTTGGTGCAACCATATTTTTAAAATTTCTTACCTGAGATGGGAGGTCAGAATAGAGGAAAGGTAGCCTTAGGAGTCAGAGAGACCTGTGTTCATAGTAGGATCTACTCCCTAAAGCTTATGTGACAGTTGAGATAATATATATGAAGCACCTATGAGTTGGGTTCCTGGCACCCAGGGAGGTCTCTGTCCAAGCTGGGGATGGTGTTGCTGCTGATGATGAGAGTGAAACTCTTACTCAGCTATCACTGTTTGTGTATTTACTTATTGATTACCTAGGTTACATACTGCATATACTCATATATGCATACAAATGCCACCATCCTTCTCTTCATGCAGCTAATTTCCACCATCCTAGCCACCCTTGGATAAAAGAGAATGATAAAACCAGAATCATTTTATGACATTGCTGTGACATCTCAAAGGGGTCCAGTAGTTTCATTCCACTCATTGGAATGGCAAAGTCCCTGACCCTGTATCTGTAGTCTCCATCATTTTTCCATTGAACAAATATTTTTTGTGAGTCTCCTGTGTGCCAGGCATTATTCTATCAACTGGAATATGACAGAGAACAATACAAACAAAGTCTGCAGTCATAGTGAGAACATTCTGGTGGGGAAGACAGTTGATAAATATGCAAACCATAGTCTAGTCTTTCTCTTAGGACCACTCTCTTTACGGGAACATCCCTTCACCAGCCCCCCACCCCAAACCCAGCTGCAGAACCATTCCTCAGGGACAGATGGGATGCAGAGCTGACTTCATCAGAGCTCTAGGATACATTTCACAGCTTGGAGAGCTCAATCACTACTGAACCAGAAAGCTGGTATCCTTTTTGCCTCCCCTTTCTCCCTCCCCATCATCCCTGGAGCCAGCCTCTCCCCTCGCCCAGCATCCAAATCCTACTGCCACTGACAGTTTATTTAACCCTGGAATGTGTCCTGAGCTCAAGTGGCATGGTCAGACATGAGCTGTGGCAGGCTTGCTGTGGCTACCTATGGACATTGCATTCAAAAGGGATAAGACTAAAGGCCATTGCTGAAACCCAGAAAAGAGATGGCAAGGATGAGATGATATGGTTCCTGACAGCTTCTGTAAGTTCTGATGGAGCTGTCACATTACCCAGCATCAACCAAGAGAGAGGGCAGTGATAAAATGATCATGACCAGAGCCAGACTGAGATTGGCCCACATGTCCTCACCATCCCTTCCCTGGGTTTCAGCGATAACCTTCCAGCCTTTGGTCTTATCCTCTTCAAACCCAATGTCCATAGGTACTTCCTTCCAAAGCTCACTTTTGATCATGCCACCTTGGCTCAGTACTCATCAGTACTCCTCCATGCCTCAGAATGCTATCCAAACTTCTTGGCACCATCCTGTCTGATTAGGCCCAAGCTCATTTCTCTAGCATCATATCCTCTCTCCTCCACTTACTCAGAGTAAAATCTTCAATCACATTGAACTCCTGGAGCTCAACTTCTTTCTCTCACCACCAAGCTTTTGCATGTGCAATTCCTTCTTTCTAGAACACCCTCACCCCTTGTTCATTTGACTAATCCCACCTCATCCTTGAACTCTCAGCTTAAACATTGCTTCCTCCAGAAAGCTTCCCTGGCTCCCCAAATCCTGAAGAGGTTCACCTGCCAGGATCTACACAGCACCTTGTGCCCCTCTATCATGGTCCTATATCATATTTGCCTGTTGGCTCATCTTCTTTCCCTACTAGATGGGGAACTCCTTAATTCAGGGGAAATCTTTCTTTCCTACATTGTGTCTGGAACGTGGCATTCAGATTCAGTCATTTCATCCATGTGCAATGACAAATCACCCAGTGCTTTGCATCAAAACCCATGGTGGTGAGGGTCCTGTTTGGCCATATTGGGTGAGCAATCCTTGACTCATGCTTCTGGGTCCCTTTCAGGAGGAGAGGACAATGATGAAGGAAAAACCACCTGGCTCATCCCTCTCCTTTTCTAACACAGTGTCCTATGTTTAGAGATCTCTCCTCTCTTCTCTCTCCTTTACCAGCACTCAGCACTCTATAGAGCACCCCCTTTCAGAAACATGACTCCCACTTTGCCAAAGAACATCCCACCTACCCTCAATCTCAAGAGATTTTGTTTGTTTTGCTAAACCTCCTCTACTTCCCTGGAGGAAAAAGGAGTGTTTTTGTTTTGTTTTTTTTTATGTCACCCAACAGGAGATCCACATCAGACTCTCCACGGAAGTCCATTTTCCACATCCTACTTCCACACCATCCAGGCCCACAAAAGGGGCTGGGGGACCAAGCCTAGCCAAGTGATGAAACAGCCAGCCACTTTTCTATGCCCACAGTAGTATCAGGGGCCAACCAGTCTTGACCTGATGGGAGGGGACCCTCTCTACAAAGCTCTCTTTCTCTGGCCATTTCTGCGTTATATAGAATTCCCAGGGAGGGGCCTTGGTCTGGCTCTTCAACCAAGGCCAAAGGGTTCCCCAGACCCCACCCAGTTTCTCAATGTGGGAACCACCCAGCTGGCCGCCTCCCTGGCTCACCAGCTGCAGAAAGAAAAGGGCTCTTGAAAGTGGCTTTGAGTTCCCACGCAGGAAGGTGCCAGCTCGAGACAGCATGGCTTTGTGCTTCCCAGAATCTGTCTTCTTACCAGGCAGAGGGAAATCATGTCCTGTGAAGGCATCAGAAGGCCCTGTGAGGATGAAAGGGATGGTCCTGTCCAACAAACTGGAAACGTACCTGCTTTTAAGGGGAGAAGACTCCTGACCCAAAACATAACTCTGAGAAAGGATCTTCCCAGCCTTCTCCAAGACAACCAAAATTTCTCTCAAACCCCACACACCAGAGTTTCTCTACTTTGGTAACTGTTCATTCAGAAAATAGCCTCAAACTAAAAAATACCATACATCTTAATTTTATCCCTAATCTACATATATTTAAAGATAGAGATAGAGATCCTCATAGATGGGCAAGATACTGTGTATAATAGGGTTTTTGAAGACCTTTTTTCATAAGTGCAGCTCCTCAAGAGTCTACAGATCGCACTTTGCCTTCAGCCACTAGAAGACACAGGCTATGGTAAATGGGAGAATAAAGGCAAAGGAGAGTAGAAAATCCTAGACATTTGTTTGGACCTTCATCATCATTACTTTTCTCTGTATAAACTGCTGCTCTCTAGAATTCTAGGCTCAAAGCCTCAGACAGTTCCCAATTTTTAAAGACTCATGAACATTTAGAACTTGTAAGGAACACACAAGATCATCCAGTCCACCAAACTGATGATTCATGGTCCACCATATGTGTTTGAATGTATGTGTGGGAGTGGGGGTGCAAGGTGTGTGAGAGTAAGTATGTGTGAGTGAATATGTCAATGTGTGTATGGGTAAGAGGATGTTTGTTTTTGTAGGGAATTGAAAGAAGACCTAGTGAGGATCTCCAACATCATAACCAACACCCCCAAGAACCTCTGTAAATTTAAAAAAAAAAAAACTTTCAAAAACAATGGAGCAAATTCAGGCTAATTTAACCTCATCACTCTGCAAATGTGGAAACTGTGACCTGCTGAAGAAAGGGATGTGCTAAATAGTTTTAAGTTTTCAAGGCTAGAAACCAGGTCTCCTGGCTTCCACCTGGTCCACCATGCTTTGCTCCATTACCACCAGAATTACTCCATTATTCTTGAACATCTATAGCGTTCATATAAGAGGTATGCTTTCCAGGTTCATCTTTTAGAAAGTGTGCCCACTCACTTATGCCCTCCTACTCCCCACTCCCTACACTTATCTCATTGCTCCAAATATTTAGCTCATTATTCATTATAGAATTAACACATACTCAGTTGTATAAAATTCAATCTCCACATTGTATGAAGTACACACAAACACACACACAGAGACACACACACACACATTCTGCAGGAGTAGTTCTCTTGCACAGCATGCTTTCTGGCAAGACTGATTGGTCTCCGGGAAAGCAGCTGAACCAAGATGGGCCAGTCAGGGTTCTTCCCTGAGAGTACTGACAATAGAATAGAAAAAGAGAGTCATCCCTTTCTGCTCTGTGCTGTGAAACTTGTGTTAAGTGTCAGTCTACAGCAACAGATTGAATATGAAATACAAAGGCTCCTGAGTGGCTCAGATGGTTGGTCATCTGCCTTTGGCTTAGGTCATGATCCCAGAGTCCTAGGATCAAGCCCCGTGTTGGGCTTCCTGCTCAGCAGGGAGCCTACTTCTCCTTTTCCCTCTGCATGCTGCTTCCCCTACTTGTGCCTGCCTTCTTTCTGTCAAATGAATAAATAAACTCTTTAAAAAAAAAAAAAAGGAATCTGAAATACAGAGAAGTAGGGTTAAGAGACATGGAGAAACGCTGTTTCCAGCTTTTCTAAGGCCCAGTTTCATCTCTGGGCATTCTGTAACTTGAGTGTTTTAACTTCCCTTAGATTTTGTGAACCAGAACACTCTCCTTTGCACTTAAATTAATTGATTAAGGTGAGGTCTCCTCCCCCTGGTAACCCAAAGCCAAAGACAACAGTGTAACCATATCCCTTCAACCTTTTTGGCATTCACTTCACAGATCTCTGTTCTCCTTTTAATTAAATGTATTTTACTATAAAAACAGACAACACATGTAGAAGAGCTGTATTTAGTTCTAATTTCTAGGTTAGGAACAGGAGAACTTAGAATCACATAATAAAATAGAGGCAAAAGTAGAAATAAAACAAGTCTTCTGACTACCAATTTAGACTTTTTCAAAGAAATCATGATGATGTCTATTAATTGGTATGAGTAACAGAGAGCCAAAACATTATGCCTTAAAATATGATGAAGGTTTAATTTTCTTGTGCATTCAAGTCCAAAAGTAGGTAATCCACATCTTGATGGCTTTGCTCCATGAAAACCTGAGGACTCATTTCCTTCTGGCTTATTGCCTTCACTCCCTTCGTAGTTTCTTTATCTGCGAATTGTTGATATTGATGTATTATGGCCCAAGATGGCTGCTTCTGTCATTGCCATCACATCTGCATTTCAGCCAGCAGGAAGGAGAAAAAGCTGAAGAGGGAAAAAATATTTGTGTCATCTCCCCTTTAAGGAAGTTTCTCAGAGGCTGTCATATGACACTTCCACTTAAATCTCACTTGCCAGAATATAGTCATCTGACCACATCTAATTTGAAAGGAGCCTGGGAAATACATCCTTGAGTCTGGAAAGCAATATATATAGCTATAAATTAATAGTTATTTAACAATGGAAGAAGAGGAGACTGGATATTAGAAAACAATGTACCCACCATTATTGTTATCATTTTTTACTTTTAATAGTTCTGACATTTTTCTAGTTGGTTACTCCAACTGTTGCAAGTGGAAAGGGTGGTTTTCTCAGAACCTGTTCTCCTTTCCCCACTGTCTTCTTTGCATTTAATGTTTATGACTCCAAACTGGTGGTTTGGAGTGAATGAACCTCATTTGGAGGTTGGGGCTAAATGGGTCTGTTAGAGAATTCTGGAACAGAACCTATGGTTCACTTTGTCTCTTTCCCAAAGAATTTTGGCCCTAACCCGAGCCAGCCTGCTGGCTCACAAGAGATGACAAGCTAGAAAGTGTGAATGACTCAGTTCCTACGCATGCTACTCCAACCCCCCATTTTATTAGAGAAATATCTTCTGACAGGACCTTCATAAGGGAGATCTGATCCACTCATCATGTTTATTTATTCAACACATAGTTTTTGGAGATAGGATGGTAGTTAAAAGGACTAGCCCTAGAGTCTAACAGCTTGGTTTCAAATCCCAGATCTGCAAGCCTGGGGAAATTATTTAACCTTTCAATGACTTGGTATCCTTATCTGAAAAATAGAGATTTCTGTACCTGCCTCATAGGACTTTTGAGAAATTATAACAGTTAACCTAGGTCAGGCATGTAATAGTAAGAGCTCAGTAAATATCAGCTAGGGGCACCTGGGTGGCTCAGTCAGTTAAGTGTCTGCCCTTGGCTCAAGTCATAATCCCACATTCCAGGATCCCACAGTCCTGGAATGGAGCCCCATATCAGGCTCCCTACTCAGCAGGGAGCCTGCTTCTCCCTCTCCCTTTGCTGGCCACTCCCCCTGCTCGTGCACCCTCACTCTCTCTCTGTCAAATAAGTAAATAAAATCTTTAAAAAAAAAAAAGTGCCAGCTATTTCATCAAGTGCCTCCTAGATGTCAGGACTGTGCTAAGAGTGTGGGAAACACAAGACTGAGTCCTTGCAGTTATGTGGCTCCTAGAGACATAGGCACCACAAGCTTGGACCCACTCTGGATTCAGTGGGGGCAATTGGCAGCAGCATCTGAGCACTGAGGCCTTTTATGGAGCAGAGAGCAAGATCCTGGAAGACAGAGGGGTCATGGGAAACAAAACACCCTACTACCTTTTCCTCTTCCTTGCCCTCCTCCTAAGTAGATCACCTAGAGCGTTTTTGTGAACCGTGCATTGTGTTGGGATGGTCTTAATTCCATGCCCAGGGAGTCCCTTTATATCAGTTCTGCAAGGGTCTTGCTGCCTCCTTGAAATACCAGCAGCTTCCAGCAACACCAAAAGCCACAGAAAGGAAAGAAGGAAGGAGGGAGGGAGAAGACACAAAACCAATTGTCATTTTCATTGAAAAGACAATAACAATTAACAATTCCACTTCCACAGTGTCCCTTTTTTCCCACAGTACACAACTGATTACTTTTTTAAAAAGCTAATTTAGAATCTTGTCATATACTTTATTTTCTGCATCTTTGAGGTGATTTTCAAACTTTTATCTCATTACTCATTATAAAAATAATATGTGCTCATATAGAATTCAAACACTAAAAAAGAATAAAAGTAAAAAGTAAATGGCACATACATATAGTAGAGTCACACCAAACATTAAATATGCTCAGAGGAAAGAAAAATGAATAGAGACAGATAAGCAATTTAAATAGTGCAGGAAGTTCCTACTTTCTCCTCAAAGAACAAACACTTGAGAGGAGGCTCAAGAAGGAGAGGCATCCCCTTCTGCTCCCACAGGAAGTGATAACAATTAAGGGACATTTAGCATTTTACAACGAAGTGGGTAGTTCTCACACAGCATAGGCCCTAAATACAGTCTAATAATTGTTTTATCTGGTGGTCAATGGAAAGACAAAAAAAAAAATCTTTTCCAATGTTGGAGGAAAACATTGAGAGGTGATGGAATTTTATATTGTCTCTTTTTTTTTATTAACATATAATGTATTATTAGCCCCAAGGATACAGGTCTGTGATATATTGCCTCTTATAGGTTATATTAGGATTTTTCAGAATAATTTTTACCACATGCATCATCTTGGTCTTATTCTCATACTTTAGAAACAAATTCATACAATATACAACCACTTCATCTCTTCATTTTGCCTTCCCTTCCTTCCTTCCTTTGTTCTTTCCTTTCTTCCTTCCTTCCCTTCTTCCTTCCTTCCCTCCTTATGCCCTCCCTTCTTTCCTTTCTTCCATCATTCACCCTCCCTTCTCTTCTTTCTTCCATCATTCTTTCTTTAATATAAATGAGATAACATCTTGCATACTATTTGGCAGTTTCCACCTAACAAGTATCTTGACATATTTTCCATCAGCATGGAGTATTCTATAGAACTAAAGTTTATTAAACCAGCCTCTGCTGACAGTGCTACAAAGTGTACAAAGTCTTGGCACACATATCTCTGTATACTTGCTCAGGATTTTTGTAGGGTAAGTTCCTTGAAATTCATTGTTGGGTCAAAGTGTGTGCACATTTTAATTTGCTAAATGACCAGTTGCCTTCTCTCTCTCTCTCTCTCTCTCTCTCTCTCTCTCTCTCTATATATATATATATATATATATGTATATATATATGTATGTATTCCAGTGTGTATTCACTTTCTTCCCCATGAGCAGTCATATAAAGACTCTAACTTGTTTTTATTTTATTTTATTTATTTAGTTTTCTGGAAGAGAGTAGGTCAATCAAGGTGAAGGAAGGTGAAGGTCACGGGAAACTTCTAAGAGGATATGACTGTTAAACCAAGCCTTGAAAGATGGCCTGACTTTTCAACCCATGGCAAAGCACATTTCAGGCAGAAGCTGGAATATGAAGTCAAAGAGGCTCATGGAGCATAGCTGAGCAGTCCATTATATCTGGGCAAATCATTGACCATAGGTGGTCTATACCTTAGCTCTCATGGCAGGCTCAGACACTTGAGTAAAGGGCACAAAAATATACAGATAAGCAGTTACATTCTTTTTTTTTTTTAAGAGAGAGCACAATGTGGGGGAGAGGAGAAGGAAAGGGACAAGCAGACACCCCACTGAGCAGGGAGCCCAATGCAGGGCTCCACCCCAGGACCTTGGGATCATAACGTGAGCTAAAGGCAGACCCTTAACCAACTGAGCCACCCAGGCACCCAAGCAGTTACATTCTAATGGGAGAAAACAGACAATCAACAGAACACAAAGCCAGCTACATGACATTATAAATGGTGATAAGTGAGATAGGAAATTAAGACCAGAGAGAAGGAACAGATAATGTGCAGGGGAAGGAGCAGGTTACAGTCTTCCATAGGTGTTCAGGAAAGCCCTCACAAGAAGGTGACATTTAATAATGACCTGTAGGGGATGAGGGAGTGAACTTTGCAGATTTCTGGGGAAGGAGCATTCCACAGAGGGAACAGAAGGAGAAGGGCCCAAAGGTGGGAGAGATGCTGGTAAAGAGCAAGGAGGTCACATGACTGGAACAGAGCCAGCAAATGAGGGGGGCAAGTGAGGGCTAAGGTCTTAGAGGCCCCAGGACTGGATGCTGGCAGGCTCTGCAGCCATTATAAGGGTTGGGCTACTTTTCAGAGTGAACTGAGAAATGATTGGGAGGCTTTGAGCAGAGGGGTGACATGGTCTGACACATGGTTTAAACAGAGATCATTCCAGCTAAAAGAGAGATGAGGGCCAAAAATGGGGAGACCAGTCCAGAAGTTGTAGGAATAATCCAGGTGAGTGATGATGGTGGCTTGGACCAAAGCAAGGCAGTGGGGTAGTAGAAAATGGTCAGATTCTGGGTATATTCTGAAGGGAGACCTTTTAGGTTAGACATGAAATGTGAAAGATAAGGAGTCAGGACAACTGCAAGGTTTGGACCTGAGCAACTAGTGTGATTAAGCTGCCATTAACTGAGGTGGGAAGCACTTTCAAGGCAGAATTTTGGATCTCAAATGTGTGATTCCTATTAAACACTGAAGTAGAGATGTCCAGTAGGCCATCAGATATGTTAGAAGGAATTCAGGGAGAGGTCAGGGCTAGAAATATAAATAGATGAGTCGTTAGCATGTAGATTGTTTTAAGACCCATTAGACTAGATGAGATCACTCAAGGAATGAGCATGGACAGAAAAAGAGAAGAGGTCAGAGAACTGACCCCGAGACACTTTAATGTTACAAAGTCAGGAAGGTAGAGACTAAGGGAGGTGGAATGTGAAAGGCCAAGTAAATCAAGTGTTGGATTGACTATTGCTGCTAAGTCAAGAAAGATGAGGACAAAAACAGTGTCCACTTGCTTTTCCCTGGAACACAATGTATTACTTTTAACCAAGTGTTGGTCAAGCCTTCCTGGCCATGGATAGAAACCATAGTACTTTGCATATCAGCCCCCATGTACTGAGTAGATGGTTTCATTTCCATAGGAATATCTTATTTCCAAGCCCTAAGGTAGGATTCCTGACAGAAGGAAAAGCACATATCATGGGCAGGACACTAGACTTAAGAATGGGGTCAAGTGACCTGAATTCTAGCCCTGGCTTACCATTTGCATCTTGGGTGACCTTGAGACCACCTCTAGCTCTCAGCTTCTTCAGATGCAATATGGCAGGTGATGAGCAGAGGAGGCCTGACCAGGGGACCACTGAGGTGCTCTTCATATGCGCTACTCAAAGCTGTAATTCAAAGACACTTTCCTCTCTCTCAGTCCAGGCTGGCCACATAATTTGCAGGGTCACTTGTTCAAAATGCAGGAAAACTATACCATTGAAGGTACTAAAACATAAAACTTTTCCTTTCTTCCATGGTCTCTCTAACTTGTCATGGGTTTTTTAAAATCTGCTATTCAGTATCATTCTAACTACAGATGTTAATTTTTTAATTATTAACATGAATATTAACCACTTGCTTTTAGATTGTGTAATGCCAACTTTATATGTAAATACAAGAGCATTTAGCTCATATGTAGAATCAATGAAATGACACAATTCATATTTCATAGCTTACACACGCATATGTATATATATGGATGATTAGTGGAAATGCAACAAAAAACTCCACTGTTTTATTCCACTTCTCAATATGCATGCGTTCTACGAACAGTCTCTACTTTTGGCTGACTGATGAGTAAGGAAGGACTAGAAAAAGGAACTCTGGGTTTCCTTATCTTTTCCTTTCCTTCTGTGTTATTTTCAGCAGAAGTTGCGGGCCAGTAGAAAAGACTATGGGAGGATTTCTTGGTTGTTTTTCTTAGAACACCAGTTGTCTTCTTTCTGCATTGGAAGCAAGTGCCAGTTCACACAGCAAGCATGGCCTCTCAGGGCTGTCAGCACTCCCTACTTATTCAGCTGTCACACACTTTGAGTCTCACTGAACTCCCATGCATCACAGGTCCACTGGGATTCTGTTCTCATGTGGCATCAAGGAGGCTGTCTGTGAAGCAGATGGCAAGGAACAGCAGTGGACATGTGCATGCACATAGGCCCTTTTGCTCGTGTATGTGCTCCATGGTCACCACCTACTCTACATAAACTCAAAGGTGAGATTATTAAGAACTTCAGAGTGGACACAGTAGAGACTTAAACCAAGCATGGAGCCCTTCTGAGCATGGGGCTCTGTGCACCTGCCCAGGACACACATCCAGGAAGTCCACCCTACTGTAAGTCTCCCTCTGCAAACACCATTATGGCACAGATCACACCTCCCATAAAGCTTGCATTGCCTTGGCTGTCTCCTGCCTTCAGACTACAAGGCATTTGGCTCAGTTCTAGTACAGGGCATGATGCAGACTAGGTATGTATCAAATGTTTGTGGGATGAGTATTACTGTAAGAACAAGTCATTCTCTAATATCTAGCCCATGGCCATGAGTGGGTTTTTTCCTTGACAGTTCCCATCTCCTCTCATTTTGTCCATTCACCATCTTCAGAAGCTCACAGTCTGAAGGGAGAATAGACATTGAAATAGAAAATTCATTCATCCATTCATGCCGTATGGGAGCAAGCACGGCTCCTGGGACATATCACATGTTCAATGAGTATTTGTCATGAGGAAGACACAGTAAAGTCAAATGGAGAAGGCAAATAATTCAGCACTGAAAATGGAGTCCAGTAAGTTGTGTTACAGCAACTCATCGAAGGCCCTGTGGAGACACAAAAAAAGGACAGCTAACCCAGCCTCAGGCTTCCAGGACAGTTGCTCAGAAGAGGTATCTTCTAGAGGAGAATGTCCCCTGAAAGGAAGGGCTTTCCAAGCAGAGCAAGCGGCCGACGGGAGGGCCCCAAGGTATGCAACAGTGTGGCTCTCTTGGGCACTTATATACTGTTGAGCTGAGTGGGATGGAAGAGGCAGTGCGAGATGAGACTGGAGAGCGAGCTTTCTTAGGACTTAGAACTCTGTAAAATAAATGCTATGGCAATGGAACAAAGTGCTCTATAAGAACAAAAGAATGAGCTGCTCGTTTCTTATAAGGGCAATGACAGTTGGACTCAGTCTGATGGGTGGGTAGGAGTTTACCTCAGAGAAAAGTATGAATAGCATCCTAAATGAGGAGAATGACCTGAAGTAATAAAAGAGCCTTTTGTCTTTAAGTAACGGTGAGAATTCAGTGTGGCTCAAATGGGGAGGGTGCTGAGATGCATAATAAAAGTAATAGCTCACATGTATTGAGCATTTACTATGCGCCAGGTATTGTGCTGTTGTTATTGAATTAACCCATTTCCTCCTTTTTTTAAAAGATTTTATTTATTTATTTGACACACACAGAGAGAGAGATCACAAGTAGGCAGAGAGGCAGGCAGAGAGAGGGGGAAGCAGGCTCCCTGCTGAGCAGAGAGCCCGATGTGGGGCTCCATCCCAGGACCCTGAGATCATGACCTGAGCCAACGGCAGAGGCTTAATCCACTGAGCCACCCAGGCGCCCCAGCCCATTTCCTCTTAACGACAGTCTTATGAAGGAGGTATTTCTATTATCCCCATTTTACAGATGGGGAAATTGGAAGGTTAAGTAACTTGGTCAAGGCCCCATAGCTATTTAAGTGGCATATCTGGGAGTCGAGCCCAGGTCTATGAGATTCCAAAGCACATGCTTTGAAATATTAGCCATCCTCTTCCCATCATTGTTTGGCAATCAAGTCGAAGCTGTCAGAGAGCTTTGGAGGAAAAGGGTGAGTTCAGTTTGGGGCATCCAGAGAAGATGCTGAGAAGGCAGCTATGCATACACGTTTGTAGCCCAGAAAAGATGAACAACTGTAGTGAAGATCTGGGAGTCATCAGCTAATTTTTAGGCATTGAAACCATGAACATGGATGTGGGCTTAGGACAGAACTCTCTGCAGCTTGGACATTTGCGAGCCAGATGAGGAGCAAAGGATGCCAACAAGGAGAAACTAGAGAGGTAGGGAGGCAAAAGTGAGCATGAAAACCCACATGCTACAGAGATAGCCAGTCAGACAAAGACTGCAAAATGGCCTGTAGGTTTTGCAAATGACCTCACAAGTGACCTTGTGCAGACCAGTTTCCTGAGACTGGTAGATAAGGGGAAAAGGACAATTGATAGATTTATAATGAGACTTAGTGCAACTTCTCAGTTTTTGCTATTCATGAAAAAAAAAAATTCATCCTTTGTCAACCACATTTCCTGATTTGGGGTACAGGAAAATGCAGTCACTGCGTCAAGACGTCAGCTGTAACTTGGCTATGGGGTATTTGGCGAGCCACTTACTTCCCTTCTTGGGGCATCAGCTTCCTCATCTGTAGACAAAGGTATTGGAAGAGACATACTCCTAAGTTTTCTCCTGGATCCAAAATTCTATTCTCCTCCATTCCAGATGTTCTTTGGGGATGTCAGTGTTGATGAGGAAGGTGAAATAGCACTAAGGTGCAGGGAAAGAGAAGGGCCCCCTTTAACTGCTACAGCTGCCCCATGGGGCTTGTTCCCTCTCGGTCTTGTTTGCTCCCCGGTCCTCCAAGGCGGCTGTTGGAGCCAATGATGAGAAACACATGTTTCTGGGCAGCCCTGGTGTTCCGCAGTGCCGCCAAGGGAGGGCAAAAAAGAAAAGGAAAAAAAAGAGAAAGGAAGGAAAGAAAAGAGCTTTGGTATTCTCAGCCTCCACAGACAATTCCCCCATTGATGTGCTGTGAGTCACGGCGGGCCGCCAGGCCATCGCGGTTTCTGAATCACTTCCTCCAAGAGGGGCTCTCCACTTGTTCCACGGGCTGGCTTTGGCCGGGTCTGGAATGCAAGGAGGTTGGGCCCTTCAGAGTGCCTCTGACTGCTTTCCTCTTTACTGGAGCTCCAGCAGCAGAGGTGGAGGTGCCAGATGCCAGGACAGGGGGCCTCAGTGGAAGGTGGCAAAAGAGCAGGTTGAACTCGCTTGTTCCAGCTAATGAACCCTATTTCAGTGCTAAAACTCATGCCTCCCTCCCTGGTTAGAGATGGAAGTGAAGTAAAAACCCAGATTAAAGGCCGCAGTTTTCTCCAATGGGTACCAGACTCACCAAGTTTTCCATCTTCTTGACCTTGATGCTCTGGCTAGGTGGACAACCTGATCTCCTTTGAGCAGAGGTAGATGTAAAGGTGATCCTCCTGGCCATTCCTCCAACAACTCACATTAGTGTGTTTTGGAGTGCATCTCTTGATCTCCCATCTTTCCAACTTCCATTTTTGAGGACAAAGATATTAATGGCCTCACCTGGGTGATGGTATTCAAGCGAGAGTCTATTTTAAGTTCTTTCTTAGGATAAACTTCATTCATTCAACAAAGAGCTTTGTGCTCATTTTGAGCTAGATTTTGCATAGGCATCAGGGGTTCTGAGAGGAAATGAACATGGTCCTAGCTGGATCGAAGAGAAAGCTAATAAATCAACAATGGAAATTCAATATGGTAGGTGCTCTGGTGGAGGAGCGCAGAGGAGATCATCAAACACAAACTTGGGGATGGGGAAGCTCAGGGAAGGCATCCAGAAAGATTTGTTGGATTGAATAAGGTGACATTTAGTACCCCTTTCCTTTGTCCGGCCACCATTGCTCCCCATTCCCCCAGGTTTTTCCAGAAGATCAGTATGTTCACTGAACACTGGTGATAAGACCTCTTCTCAGCCCTTGTAGGAGATGAAGGGGTCTCTCTCCTCCACACCAACAGAGGGCACAGTTTCCCAATGACCTTGGCTGTTGGGGAAAATACTAGAATGCCGCCATCTTGTGGGCACGCTGAGCCATGTTCATTTTACAACTCTATGCTCCTGGGGCCCTTATCAGAGATGGGTTGACCTGGAAGGAATGCCCAAAAGAAACAGGGTCTGGCATGGCTACTTATCTGATTGTACTTACAGGTGAAGGGTAAAAACAATACCTTTTAAGAAGTCGGCTGTGTCCACATGTAGCTGACTGGTCTCCCCTTACAGAGGTAGCTTTGGACAAAAAGCTTCTTTAGAGCACACACCATGTCTTCATCTTCTCTGTGTCTGCCACAACTTCTACCAAAAGATTGGGAAAGTAATAAGTGCTCAGCTCATGGATGTTAGATGGAATCAGTCACTGTAAACAATCAGCCAGAATGATAGCAAGGGCCCTCTCTACCTTGTACCACTGTGGTCCTAGCACCTAGCACAGTGCCTGTAGTTACAAAAACATGTTACACGAATCAGTGAAATCAGACACTTGAAAGTAAAGTTCTAGAAACAACAAATGTTGTTTGCTGGAGGAGAATAGAGACATTGTCTATATTGTCTAGTAGAACCTCCTCTTTCTTGGGTGCAGCACAGAAAGGTACAATGATTTGCCCAAGGTCACACATCTAGTTTCAGAGCTGGGACTAGTGGGTATCACTTGTCACCTGACTTGCCACTATGGTTGCCTGGCCAGGTCAGCCCACGCTTATGTGAAGAACAAAGCAAAGCAGCATATCTGTCTAGAGCAGACACTTGTCTATAGTTATACTTGGTGGAAGAGCTTTCCAGTGAGAATTTCTGAAGTATCTTCATAAGGACTCTAATACTGGCCTGTACTCCTGGGGAGATAAGGAACCTAGCTAGTGTGCTGAATATAGAGGTAAAGGATGTCTGGCAATCCAAGGAATATAGAAATAGCTGAAATGCAGTCACTGGACACAGAGAATGTGATGCAGAAAGTGCCACAGCTATATCATAGGGTCCACATGGGACCCTTGTCTCCCAGGAGAGCTCATGAAATAACCCATGTCTTGATGGTGTATGGACTTGAGCTTCAGAGTGGGCATTGGATATCCAGATGAAGGAGCAGCCTGGCCCATATGTAAGAACAAAGGGTCTGGCTATCTCCCCAGTACATCCATAATGACCTCATTCTCTCCAGTTCACCCTCTGCCCTGTGCCACACTGATTTTTCTAACAATTGCCTGCTCAGACTATCCATGGCCCCCCATTGCCAACAGGATAGAATCCAAATACCTTTGGCTTCCTTTTTCATCTGGCCCACTACACCTCTTTAACCATATGTTTCATCCCTTATCACCTACCCCTTCACACCTTGATCAGCCTGCTTGCCTGTCTTGAGTAGGTTCCAGGCCTAGACTCACCACTTGTTACCACTGGGACCTTAAGGAAATCACTTACCTCTCCATGCCTCCATTTCCTCATCAGTAAAATGGAGATCCAAGTGCATCTACCAAACTGCACCATTGTGAGAATTGATTGAACCGAATGTGAAGCTTCTAAACAGTGCCTAGCACGTGTATGTTGTCAAAATATGTTAGGGATAGTTACTATTACTATCACTAAGTCCACCATGCTTCCTCATGCTCCCATCCCTTTGCAAATTCTATTCCCTATCCCTGAAAAGTCCTTCCCTGCCTTCTCCTTCAGATGGACAACAGCTCATCCTTCGAGAACCAGCTCAATGTGCCCTTTTTAACCACAGAGGAAATTAATTACACCCTCATCTTTGTATACAACCTATTGCAGGTTCATCAAAAATCCCATTGACACCCTGAAACTCCCCATCAGTCACATGGGGTAATGGCATCTATGGATCATGATGCCTCATGGATCAGATGGGTAACTCCATTGTCATCCTACAGACTGTGCAAATTACAAAGCCCTTGACAAGCATGAGAGATTTGTATTTTTGTAATTTGAGAAGGAATGTCAGCTGCCCTGCTTCTGACCTGCCAGGGCTGGATCAGCCTGTCCCTTGCTATAGTGACCCAAGACCCAGCCTTCAGCAGTGTCCTCTCCCTCTCATACACACTAGCTCCATCTGCAGCCCAGGTCACCCAAGCTTGCTTCCCAAGCACTGGCAGCTCCCGGCCCACCCATCCAGGGAAGGCTGGGACTGGCTGTTAGCACAGGAAGACAGCTTCTCATCCACCTCCTTCTTCCAGTTCCCCCCCCACACACACACACACCCAGACTCTGGGAGCCACCTTGGCTGCCCTCATCTCCCCAGTAAGGCTCTGCCTTAACTTTTAAAAGTAAATTTTACTGTGTTTACATACAACGGAAAGGTCCCCTCCTGGCCCCCCACTCATTTTCCCTTGTTCCTCCCTCCTCCCCCACAGCTTGTTTTAACGTCCTCAAAGCCATCTCAGGGCCTTTAACAACCCTTCCTTCATGCACTCATCAAGGATTGTGTGAAGCACTTACTCTCTGCAAGGCATTGTGGGAGATTTCAGCAATGAAGAAGAGGCAAACAATGGGCTGGAAGGAAGGAAGGGGTGGCAAATGTGTGTTGAGGGTCTGCTCAATGCCAGTGCCATGTCAGATACTTAGGTCACTCCCCTGAATTTGCACCCCTTGGGGTAGGTTTTGTTACATAATCCCCACTTCATTGCAGACACAGCTGAAATTAGGGAATTTACCTGAAGTGACACCACTACTCACTGGCAGAGATAAAATTTAAAACCTGCATCATTTCCCTAAACCATGCCTTCCTATAGCACGTGGCACAGTAAGAGAGATGCATGCAATATACGGTGAAGGGGCGTCCAGAGCCCAGGGATAAGCATTCTGAAGGCAGTGTTGGGTCAGATATCATCTTTGTCAACTGTCATCACAAACACCCAAGACCGCTGTATTTCTTCCATTTTCTTTAGCCCCAACTTTAGCTCCAAACTTGCTGGAGAGAACTACAGATCTGCCCATCATTTGAGTTATATGATGATGTCTCCCTGTTCCCTAAAACAGACACTGGGCAACTGGGTGGCACCCAGAATGCTAGCAAAAACTTATGAAGAATGCATTACACATGAGAATTTCACCTAGATGCTTTCTGTGTGCTGACTCAGTACAACAACCTGATAAAGTTAGTGCTATTATCATCATCATTTTCGTAATAAAGACACAGGTACAGAGAGTGAAGAAAATGGCCTAAGATTACACCGATAGAAGTGGCTGAGCTGGGATGTGAGCCCAGAGAGGCTGGCTTTGGAGTTTGGGCTCTAAGGAGTTCACTGTGCTGCTTCTTAATGGTTTAAAATACAAATACTCTACAGATGGGGCACTCATGTGCTGGACAGCATGCCAGATGCTAGGGATACAATGGCAAGAATTATGCATGGTCCCTGCCCTCATGTAGCCCAACCTCTCAAGGGGGAATCAGCTAGCTATAAGCTGGCAATTTCAATAGTTCGGTCAGTGGCCTGGAGGCCAACAGGTGCAAGGTTATGAGTGGGCTCCAGATTCTGCCTGAGTTGGAATCTCTTTTCCTCCACTTCCTGGGGGTGTGGTCTTGGGCATGTTAGCAAACATCTCTGTGCCTCTATACTGTCAGTATCTACACCTCAGGGCATCACTCTGGGAAGGATTAAATGAGATAATATGGAGAGATGGTTAACCTAGTGCGACATGCTACTTAGCTTTGATTCCTGATTCAGTCACTTCCTAGCTACATGACCTTGAGTGTTATTACCCCTCTGTGCCCCAGCTTCCTCATCTATGGAGTGGGAATGATTTATCTACCTCATAGGGTCATCATCAGATAGAATGGGTTAATGTAAAACATGTAATCTATGAGCGCTCATTATAAAATAACTGTCATTAACAGTTGAATCTGTCTCCTAGATATCACCAAGTGATATCCACCACTAAATCCATTATGCTTCCTGATGCTTTCATCTCTTTGCACATGCTGTTCCCTATACCTGGGATGCCCACCCTACCTTCTCTCTCAGATAGACAACAGCTCATTCTTCAAGGTCTAGCTCAATGCCCCCTTCTGCTGCCTCTCATAGCCCCTGCTGGGGAAGTTAATTATCTCACCTTTGCACATGTCCTTCGTTCCCCCACCCTCCCTCGTGCTCGGCAGACATGGGGCTAAATGCTGAGGACTCTGAAGGACACTTCCTTCCTAATTCCACATTGAATCATGTTGCCTGGGATCAGAGATGACTGTTAGTGGATTCTAAAATTTAGTAATGAACTTAAAAATGAGATGTCCTATGAGAGAGTTGTTAGAAACTCTCCCCAAATATAGGGCCTATCTATTATTGAATATGCAGTTTACTCTATATTTAATATTACTATTAGTCTATTGAGTGATGTTATTTATTGGCTGGTGCTGTAGAGCACGTGGATTTCTAATACAAAATCGTTTGTGTTCTGGTTGGGTGGATTTTGTTTGTTTGTTCCTGAGACCCTAAAGAAAGAATTAAAACAGGTATCTAGCAGGAACTGAGAAACAGTCTTACAACCCATCCTAATTGTCATGTATTCATGCTTGCCTCTCTCACTGGCACTGCCAGCCTCACTGAGGTCTGCCCGGGTCAGACCAGTCTGTAACTGAACGTGAGTGGCCCCTGGCAGAAGGGTCACTTGGGCCTGGCGGCAACAACCTTCCTTAACAAGAGCCCAGCCACCTCTCCACTAACTTCCGACTCCCCTTCAGGCACTTATGGAGGCCTCTGCTTCCTTTCCATGTCACAGGAGAACAGAAGGCATCTCCAGAGTGCAGAATCAGGCTCTCTTGGGCTGAGGCTGATAGAGCACAGGGAGGCGGGGGCAGGGAGGATGCGATGCCTGTGAGGAGGTCTCTTCCCAGAAGGCCATCAGGCAGAAGTCCCCTCTCCCCCTCACCTTCCTCATCAGCTTTCTCCTCAACCCAGAGAGGTTCTCAGAAATGGCACTTTAACTCAGGAGATGCAGGCACCCAGCTTCTCACCAGCCCCTCCCTCTGCTTTTCTCTCTCTCCCTGTCCTCCTCCCATAGACCCTTGAGGTGGAGAAGGCCGACTTTATTTTCCCTCCTCTCTGGACCTCCCTATATCATGTCTTCCTCCCACGGGCATTTGCCCTTATGGTTCTGCCTAAAGAACAACTTATGTACAACTAACTACAATATGAAGTAGAAAGTGGTAAATGCCAAGAAATAAGGGATGGACACTGAGACATTCCAAGGCATGGACCCCAACCCCAGCACAGAGAAGCAAAAAGCTGAACAGGTGGGAGAGGGCCAGGCCTGGCATCTTGGGAGTGCAGGCTTTAAGCTGGATATTGACCTTCGACCGGGAGAGAGAGAGGCTGTTCCAAGAATGACACGGCAGGGCAAAGGCTCAAAGACAGGAAGTCATGAGGCAAGTTGTCCTGTTTGGATGGCATATGAAGGGGGAACATGAAGGGGACCAGGGGAAGATAAGGCTGGGGCCAGACCACAGGAGGCATTGAATATGGAGTCAAGGAACTTGATCGGGGGTCGCTTGAGGAGGTCACAGAGGACAGATTCGTTTTTAAAATCAGGTAAGACTGGAACCAGGCTTTGAGAAGGTGAAAAGGTAGCAGAATGAGCAGGATGGAGTTGAGGCTGGGAGTAGAATTCAGACAAAAAAAAGTCAGGATGAAGGAGAGTAGAATGGTAAGGTACGTGAAGGATATGAAACAGACAATAAGCTTTAAGCAATCTGGCCTGTCCAGACTGCTCCTAAGGGACTTACCTATTGGCTGTGACCAGTCTCTTCTCTAAGGCATGGGGCCGACAGGAGACATCTGGGCACTGTAGTCCCACACATGGGTCCCAGGAGCTGCCTCTGTCCAGGTAAACAGTTTCTGGAAGAAGTCATGGGTGAAGCCAGGCAGGTAATAAAGGTCAGTGTTACTTGTTCACAGAAAATACCTCTCTCTTACATTCCATGGGCCAGAGAGCAAGGTTGGGAAAAGAAGCTGACAGGTGGAGACAGATGCATTTCCTGGACACGCACTCTAACCTTCAGGTGGTATTTGCAGATTAAAGAAATTGAGCCTCAGGGACGTTGAGCAATTTTCTCAAGGTCACAAAGCTGGCAAATGGCAGAGTAAGAATATGCACCCTAGGCTTTCTGACCACATCCACTAGGTACACTGTCTTCTCCAAAACACACTTCCCGCCTCCTGACCCCCAAACTTTCCCCACTTCATCTCCTGATTGGATGTTGTCTGCCATGGAGGAGCGAACTAAAATTGTCTCCTACTGGGAGACCTCCCACTAAAACATAGTGTCAGCCTAGTACCTGCAGACCCCGGGCCAGGATTTGGTTCGAAGTAGGGTCCCAGTATTTTTGTCTCAACTTATTTTCTTACCTTCTTTTTTTTTTTCTTACCTTGTTTTTTAAAGGAAAGAGGGAGAAAATGTACGGGGCTGGGAAAAAGCAGTGGCGGGAAGGCAACTTGATAACTGATGATTTTTTGAGTGCTTCAGCCTGAAGGAAGCCAACAGCTGCAACATATTGGTTACATGGAAATCATTAAGTCATTCTGGGAAGGAATGACAAATGTGTGCGCCTGTGTATATATGGTAGACATGTGTTTACGTATGGAGTGAGGCACCCACAGAGGGAATTGCCTCAATGCCGCCTCCAGGCCAAGAGAAGAAAAGAGAAATTCAAATAAAACCCCATTGCAGGAGATGATTCTGAAAATCAAATTGTTGTTTAACATGAAGCTTGAGCTTCAAATGTAAGAGGAAATCATTTCTTCCTTGACATCTAATTGGAGATGGGCTCCCTTTAGCAAGAGGTGGCATGGTGGGGTTAGCATCTGCCTGGACAGGGTGTGAGGAGCCCTCTGTTGTAACTTCTTTGTCACTAACTAGAATGTGATCCTGAGGAAATTTCTGTGCTCTTTTGCGTCTCAGTTCCTCAAATATAAAGTGAGGGGATTTGACGAGATGGTCTCTAACATCACTTCCTGCTCTGACAGTCTGTCAGTGTGCAGTACATCCTTATAGCATAAATTCTGAGACTGAGCTACTGCTCTTAGAAAGAGCTGTCTGTCCCCCCACCCCCACCCAGAAAAGGGTTTCCTTTAGTAAAACCAGATTTATATAAATCTAATTTGCCTAGTTGCATGTATCTGTTTACATTCACAATTACGTTATGCCCCAAAACTAACTCCCTAGGATATAAGACAATGAAAGATAAACAATTATTTACTTCCAGCAAAGGTGCTCACTCCCCAGACCTGGATGCACAGAAGGACAGAAGCACATCATGGTTTCTGGGACAAAGAACTAGCTTCTCCAGGCTTGGCCTCTGAATTAGTAACACATGGACTTGGAGGCATCTGAACCCACCTCAACCCACTTGAGGTCTGTCCCTGGGCCATGGAGAAATCTGGCTGTCATTGCTACTTTAACTGTGTGTGTTGGGGTGGGAACTTCAGGAAGAAGAGAGCAGGAGCTAGCTCTTGGTCAGACTCAATTTGATCCTCTTGACCCTCAAGGTAGATACCATTTTCATCTCTGTCTTCAAGTAACTGGCAGAGGTTGGACCCAAACCAGTTCTTCTACATTCCAATAGATGTAGACTCTTAACCATAACACTCTAATGCAGGGTCTCTCAACCTCAGCACCATTAATATTAAAGACTAAGTAACTCCTGGTTGTGGGCGTGTTATGGACTCAACATTTGTGTCTCCGCAAAATTCTTATGTTGAAACCCTAACCTCCAATGTGATGGTATTTGGACATGGCATTTGGGCTTTATGAGATAATTAGGTTTAGTTAAGTGAGGAGGCTAGGACCTTCGAGATGGGATTAGTGCCCTTTATAAGAGGAGGAAAGAGAGATTTCTCTTTCTGTTCACATTCACACACCTGGAAAAGACCACATGAGTACACAGAAAGAAGGTATCTTTCTACAAACCAGGGAAGAAGGCTCTCACCAGGAACTGAATCTGCCAACACCTTGATCTTGGACTTTCAGACTGCATAACTGTGAGAAATAATTGTCTGTCACTTAAACCACCCAGTCTATGTTATTTTGTTATAGCAGCTCCAGCTGACCAAGACAGGGGACATTGTAGAATGTTTAGAAACATCCCTGGCCTCTACCCATTAAATGCCAATATCAATCTCTCTAGTTGTGACCACTAAAAATATATCTGGATATTACTAAATGTCTGCTGAAGGGGAAAATTGGCTCTAGGTGAGAGCCACTATTCTAATGTCAACCCACGGTAGGAGGAGGAAATGGCAGCCACAAGGCCTATAAAATACCATACTCAAATTCAAGTCCAAGGAATGATTCCAGAGATACAGTTGGGTGTGGCATCAGTAGCAACTAGAAAAGCATGGAGCAGATCAGATACATGGCAAGCTGGTCCATGATTTCAGATATGAACAAACTACGATATTCAGAACACCTCTTTGTGAAGAGATGTTAAGAATGGCTGAGTTGATGGGGCACATGGCTGGGCCAGCAAGTTGAGTATGTGGCTCTTGATCTTGGGGTCCTGAGTTCAAGCCCTACATTAGGCATAGATCCTACTTAAACACACACACACACACACACACACACACACACACACAGAATGGCTGAGTTGGCATACATCTGAGCAGGCATTGTTGACCTTAGTTCAAAGTATTTTCATTCATTCACTCAAGAACCATGTGTCAAAGGCCTGCTCAGTTCCAAACACTGAGCTGGCCCTGGGAAGCCAAGATGAATGAGCAGTGCCTTCCAGAAGCATGCATTCTGTAGAGAAAGGAATGTTAATAATGGCATTGGTAATAACAACCTTACCCAGATGTCAGATGGAGATCTCCTGATCCTTTAGGATCTAAGGGAAATTCCTTGGCCTCCCTTGGATTTTTGCTTATCCCTGGTGGGCTCATTCTCTCCAGTACACACAGTCTTTGGGGCACTGGTATCCCCCAGGCCATCATCCCACAGCATATCAACCATAACATCAAGTACAGCTGCTTCTCCCATTCCCACCACAAACAACAATCTCTCCCACTAGGAATGGTGTATTTAGTAAGTGCACTGGTGACCATAATCGGGTACAAGGAAGGGGTCACATCTCATGACACAGAGTCTTCCTTGCCCTCTCATCTTCATCCTCAACACCCTCCCAGTTCACCAAATCTCCAAAATCTCATTTTCCTGTGCAGGGCATTCCCTGACACCCATGAGGCCTTGGCTCTAGCTTATGCCAGGCCCTTAGGGAAGTTCACCTTCCATCCCAACCACTCACCAAACTATTTTCCCCACAAAATCTTCCCTCCCTAAAGATAATTGTGGAAGCAGCTGTTAGAAGTTAATAAATAAATTCATACCAATATAGTAGGACTTGGTATTAATAATAATATTTGGGGCACTCTACCTAATGTTAGACAATGAGCTAAGTGCCTAATGTGCATTATTTCATTTAATAATAGAATGGGATCATTACAACACTGTGCAGTAAACACCAGTAGAGTAATTCTCTATAATATATATTATAATTCTCTAAAATAATATACTCTCTAGCATTTAAATCTCAGTACCTTAATAGCTGTATGAGCTTGGGTTTTTCAGTTCACTGCCTTGTGCTTATTCCTTTTTTTTTTCATTAAAAAAAAATTGGGAGGGTAAACAAAGGTGTAAAGTGCTAAGAACAGTGTCTGGCACTTAGTACTCACTCAGTAAATGTTGGGTGTTACTTAATCACTGAAGGATTAACAGAGGGATTTGGGATTGAGTCTGCTTATGACAGGGACAGATCTCATGGCAGGGGGATGGAGGAAGTGTTCTAAAGGATGAGCAAGAGTTTACCCCCAAGAACATCTGATGCCCTGAATTTTATGAAATGAACCCCTGCTGGTCATGCTTTCTCAACCTTGTCAGCTTTCCCTCTTGGCTTTCCCCATCAATTTCTCATTCCCACAAGGCTCAGTGAGACACTTGGGAAAATATTTTCCAAAATAAATTTCAGTCATCATTTGACCCAAACCACCCGATTCTGTGACCCAGCCCTGTCTACTAATGTTACCACCCTGTCCCTATTTAGACTGAGGTTTTATAACCACCCATCCCTTTGCCAGGGCTTCCCTGTCCTGCCCCCTCCTGTCTGAGTCATCCTGTGATGTCATAGTCCTAGATTTATGATGTTGGCCAATGTGGTCTCAGGGATGACTATAGACAGGACCAGCCTTAGGCCCAGCTGTGAAACCAGTCCCATGGTGTTCTGCCTCCCACCACCCCATTCTTCCATGATGTAGTGGAAAGATCATGCTCTGGGACTCTTGGTCACCTCCAAGCTCTGTTCTTTCCCCTGCATGACCATGGACTGGGAGGGCTTTCTCCAAGTCCATTTCCTTGGGTTTCTCCAAGTCTTAGCAAACAGGGATGTTTGAGAACCAAATTCAACAACTAAGTAAAAGCGCCTTAGCAAGTGCATAGTAGGCATCATCGACAACTATCAGCACAATTATCCTGCATTAAAGGACACCCGAAAGCTCAGTGGCTGGAAAAACAGCCATTGTGAGGGAATTAGCTGATGCAGACTAGGCCTTGCAGGGCTTGGCTCTGCATGGACTAGTGACCTGGCCAGGCAATCCTCAGCAGGGCAAGTGCAGAGGGACAGGAGGGCCTTGCCCAAGCACATGCTACCCCACCGTTTGCCTCCTGCCTGCTAGTATTCTGTTGGCAAAAGCAAGTCACGTGGCCATATCCGAAATTAAGAGCAGGAATGTATATTCCTCCTTGGAGGGAACTCCAAGGCACCTGGCAAGAAGTGGGATACAGAGAGGGGGAAGAATTAGTAACAATGAGGCACTCAGTGACAGTATATGGTCAGGACATTCTTGTTTCCTTACTTCCAACTCTTCCCCCACACCCAA